TATATTATATATATAATAAATATAATATAGTAAATATTTTTAACAAGTTTAATAACTCTACTATAATATATAAAATCTAAAGTTATTAAATATTTATATTTTATAAAATATATAAACATTTTTACTAAAAGTAAATACAAAATTTAATTTGTAAATAAATCTTTTTTAAGTATATTCACAAATTAAATTTTGTATTTATTTTTTAATAAAAAAGTTTATATTTTATAAAATATAAATATTTAATAACTTTAAATTTTATACACCATATTTTTGCTATCTCTAGAATCTTTAATTTATATAAATTATGCAAATTATACAGATTATATAAATTATATAAAAAATTACTTAAATTATAATAATAATAAATAATAATTCACAAGTAAAATTACATGTACAAGTTACATATAGAAATTATATTTAAATTATATATTATATATAAAAGTCATGTAATTTTAAATTCATTTAATAGAAATATAAATAATTAAATAATTAAATAATTAAATAATAAATAATTTAATTAAATTTAAATTATTAAAAATGTTAAATATTATAATAATAATTAATTATTAATAAAATAATTATATTATAAAATATTTAGATTATAATAATATATTTAATATTACTTTTAATATTATTTTTAATCTTTTGAATTATTTAATACTGTAAATTAATCATCATTATTAATGAATTTAAAGAATGTAATTTATAATAATAAAATTGGATTAATTATATATTTATTATATAATATTAAAAAAAATATATAAACTGCTGGATAAGAAAAGATTTGTTTTAAAATTAGCTAATTAAAATTGAGCTATACATGCATTATTTTTTTTAATTTGTATTAAATATTTTCATTTTATTAATATGTATAGTTTTTGTTTATTTTGTTATAAATTAATTGCTAAAAAGATTAAAATTCAAATAAATTATCTGGTATATTAACAAGAATTTATTTATTAATATTACAGTCAAACTTTTCTATAATTATTACTCTCAAAAAAGTAAAATTTGGTGATTATAAAGAGAATGTGACTATAGAGAGATTTTTTTACTATATTTATATATAAATAAAAAAGCAAAATAGAATAATTATAATTATAAATAGGTGTGACTATAGAAAAGTTTGACTATATTTAATAATAAAGATAATAAGCCTAAAAAATTTAATATAGTAATATAAATATAAATAGATGAGAAAAAAGAAGAAGAATTAGTAATTTTTTTATGTTTGATATTATTAGTAGATATTATAGTAAACTAATAAAAAAATATATTATATTTAGTAAGATTATAAAATGTAAAATATATATAAAGATTTTTGTATATTTTTGAATTTTTTATATTTTTAAATTTTTATTTTTTAGAATTAAAGAAAATATAAATGTAAAATTATATTATAATAATAAAAAGAAAATTAAAAAATAAAAATGCAAAATAAATAAAGTTTAATTTTGTATTTTTAATAATAATTTTAATATAAAGAAAAGTTTTTTTGCTCTTAATAAATTGTAATTTTATCTGAACAAAGAATATATAAGAGAAAAATATGAAAAAAATTTTTTTTGTTATTATTAGTATTATTATTTAAATAAAATTTTTTTATAAATAATATATAATTTTATAATTTTAAAATAATTATATATTGAAAATTATTGAATAATAATTTTATTATCTATAAGTAATATTATCTATTTAATAAATAATATTATTTATTTGATAATATTATTTGTATTAAATTATCCAGAAAAATCATATAAATTTGTTGTTATTTTGTTTTTTTACTAAATTTTATTTTATTTATTAAAATAATAATTATAAATTTATTAAAAATATAACTTTTATAATTTTAATATATAATTTAAACATATAATTTTTGTATATTATTATTATTTTAGTTAGTTTTCAAAATAATTAAAAATATTTATAATATTTAAAGAAGTATTTAAAAAAATTTATAATATTTTGACAATAACTTAAAGTATTAATAATATTTTATGAAAACTAATAATTATATTCTTTATATTATTACTATTTTAAGCTTTTGCATATGAAAATATTTCAAAATAATAATAGTAATTGTGTTCATGATAGTTTACTTTAAATTTATAACTAAATAATATTTATAACAATAAAAAAAATTTCTTGACAAGACAAAATTGATGATAATAAAACTAAACTAAAAAAAATTTTAATCAAAAACTATTTCTAATTTCAAAATTAATATAATAAACTTAAAATTAAACCAAAAGAAACTTAAAAAAATCAAACTAAGAGAATTTAAAATCAAATTAAGAGAACTTAAATCAAACTTGAAGAACTTCAAATAAGAATTAGAGAACTTGATTTTTATTAATTATCAGCACTTATATTTATACATATTTTTGTATTATAGTGATATAGTATGATATAGTATGATATAGTAATATGCAATAATACACAGGATGACAGTTATAATGCAGTACATAACACAGTAAATTTATACTAATATTATAAAATTACTGATTTTTTAAATTACACAAAATCTAACTATATTATAATTAATAATCTTGTTCTATACTAAAATATCAATAATAAAAATAGAAAATAAAGGCTAAATTAATATAAAAAATAATAAATTTACCAAGAAAATTGTGTGATTAATATATTCAAATTAAAATAATAATAAAATAAATATAGAAAAATAAGTAATATGAAAAAGAAAAGAAGAAAAATAGAAAAAAATATAAAGAAGTAAAAAATTATCAAACTAAATATATAATCTAAATATCATCATAACTAATTTTTATTATGATTGCATTTTCTATTCACATGTTATATATTGAATTAGTAACAATATTATATTTTGAATAACTAAAAAATATTTTCAAAAACTTAATATCAAAATGTAATATTCATATTATATTAAATATAACTTAAAGGATATTTTATAAATTATAATAATAATTTTTTATTCAAATATAATTTATAAGATTTTGTTACAAATATATATTAGACAATCTTGTAACTAAAACAAATATTTAATAATATTTATAACAAATATACTTAAATAATATTACAAACAACAAGAAATCTAAATTACAAAATATATATATATCAAAGAAAAAATTTAAAGATAATTATTTTTGGAAAAAATGATATTTTGGCAAGCAATTTAATTTTACTATATTGCTTATATTAATGAATACTTAAAAATCACCTAAAAATACTTGTTTTAGTTTGTAAAATCCAAATTTAATTTCAGCAAGTTGATTTTAGCAAATTATTTAATTAAATAATATTAATATCATTTCAGAGACCATTTTTAAAAAGATTGTTATATTACTTATAACTAATTATAAGTAATAATTGAATATTATTACTTTCAAATACTTGTTCCAATTTGGTATTGGAACTTCAACAATTAGAGTTTTAAATTTACTGTGACAAGAGATGACAAGCTCTTTTTGGTACAGGAAGTCAGTCGATATCGATTCATTTTTTCTTTTCATTTATTTATTGTTGTATATGTTTGTGTTCCGCTTACTACCACATTCAAATAACGAACGGTTTGGTAGATTTATCATTTCGTGACTTTCCTCGCGAATTGTTTAAATTTTTAAAAACAATCGAGAAGCAGCGTTGAACCAAAAAAAATCGTTACAAATGGAAATGTAGTTGCTCTTCATTTAAACGGAAAAATATTAAAACAAGGAAATTAGAGGATGACAGAACAAAATAAGTAGATGCTCTGGGAATGAATAGTTAATAAGTTTGATCCATAAATCCCTGATATAATCAATTATCACGCTAAAAGTTTGATCCATAAATCTCTGATATAAAATTATTTATTTAAATTGAAAATGAACTTTATTGATTTCTTGCTATCCTAGGATCGAGCTGCTGCATCAACCTTTGCGATATGAACCAACAAGTCGACAACTCGCGTCGAGTAGCCAACTATACAATTGAATAAAGAAAAGTGAGATAAACAATGTCAATCATATTTTTAAGATATAGTAAAGACAGAAATACTTACATTCATTATCATACCAAGAAATAAGTTTGACAAAGTTTTGATTCAATCCAATGCCTGGAAAAGAATAAATATCAGAATTAAAATTAAATATTCTACATAATAAAAAAATAATGCGATTAATATCTACCTGCACCAGCATCGAAAATTGATGAATGAGTATCACCAATAAAGTCAGTAGAGACAACCTGTGAATTTTATTAGATGAAAAAAAGTGTGAATTATTTTTATTTGTGATAAATTTACTCAGACTAATCAAAAAGATAAGTACCGCATCTTCAGTGTAGCCAATAATTCCCTTGTATCGAGACGTCTGGGAAATTTCTTTGATATAAGCTTTGATCTCATTGAAATCGGCTACCGGTTTTTCCAATCGAACTGTCAAATCCACGACAGAAACATCAGATGTGGGCACTCGGAAAGCCATACCAGTGAGTTTTCCTTGCAAGGCGGGAATGACCTAAGTGTAGAAGTGTTATTTTTATTTGAATTTTATCCATTAGAACAAAATAAAATGAAGTTACGAACTTTTCCGACAGCAGCAGCAGCGCCTGTAGAACTAGGAATAATATTTTGAGCTAATATCAAAGTATAATTTGTTAAATTAGTTATTCACTAATAAATAAAACTAAGATAATTTTAAAGAAATAGTATTTTTACCTGCACCTCTGCCACCTCGCATATCCTTAAGTTATTGATCGAATAAATTAATCCATTACTTCGAGCGTAAAATAAATAGATAAGTTTAAGCAAACCTTTGCACCGCCGAAACCATCGACAGTCTTTTGAGTGGCAGTAGTAGAGTGAACTGTAGTCATCAATCCCTCAATAATACCATACTTGTCATGAATTGCTTTAGCGAGCGGAGCCAAACAATTAGTTGTGCACGAAGCATTGGATATAACTTTGTATGAAGGATCATAAGCTTCCAGATTTACACCACAAACAAACATATGTACATTTTCATCTTTGGGAGGTGCAGTCAAAATAACCTAAATTAATTAAGAAATGTATTATTTCACTGATTGGTACCAAACAATAAATATTGAATATCAAAAACAAGACATGCCTTTTTAGCACCATTAGCATTAGCCTAATAAATTAAGAAATGCATTATTTCACTGATTGGTATCAAATAATGAATATTTGAATATCAAAAACAAGACCAACCACTTTCTCTTTATTCTCAGTATACTAAAAAAAGAATATGGACAATAATAATTAAATAATTATCAAATAAAACATTAATATTAATAAAATGCAAAAAAACTAACCTCCTCTAAATGCTTTCCAGCATCCGCTTCTTTAAGGAAAACACCTGTCGATTCTATAACATATTCAACACCTTCTTGCTTCCAAGGAATATTTTTTGGTTCCCTTACGGCATGAATAGAAATTGAGTGACCATCAATAATTAATTTATTGTTCTTTGGGTCAGAGCTAACTTCACCCTGATATCGACCATGAGTAGAGTCGTATTTGAACAAGTAAACCTGTATATAAAAATAATATGTGGCATATTATAATAAACCATGTATCTTGCGTTTCTATTTATTCGTTGCTTTACCATATATTCGAGATTGAGGAAGGGGTCGTTCAATGCAATGACTTCGACTTCTTTATATTTCAAAGCAGCACGAAGAACGAGACGACCAATACGACCGAAACTAAAGAGTGCGAACAAAAGCAACAAATGTCAAGAGAAAATGTAGAAATTATTTTATAGAAGAATTTAAAGATACATTACCCATTGATACCAACTTTAATAGCCATGACGCTGTTGAGAAGAATGATAGTAACAAGAATGGGAAGGTTAGAGGGTTTATTATATACCGATACTCAAATGATAGTAACAAGAATGGGAAGGTTAGAGGGTTTATTATATACCGATACTCAAAAAATTTTAATCTAAAATTGATCGATCATGAGATTTTTACATCAATCAATTACGTAAGTGGCGACGGCAATGATGCTTTGACACCAATAAAGCATTTTTCTTTGATAATCGTTTTACTGCGCCAAGTGTGAATAATGAAAACATTCTTGCTTGTTTCGGATATTCATTCACGATTTGATAATATCGAGAACCTCTATAAATGGCTTATTGATCATAATCGATTTACTGAGTGAGTGTAAAAAAAGAATCTATTTATTCATTGGTTTCATTATATGAATTGAATGTTGTTTAATACTTGCAAGTTCTTTTGATAAAGTATCGATTATGTTATTGCTTCAGGAGATCTGGTCAACACTGATTACGTGACACCAGATACTGAACCTACCAAAAAGGTACGATAAATATAGGCAGTAATTTCCGGAATTAAGTAAAATAATCAAAAATTTCTTTCTGAATTAAAAAACGTAAAGGATGAGCAAGAATATCGCGAAGTGATCTCTGCATTGGTCAAATATGGGAAACAATTTTATTATATTCCTGGTAAAAGATTCATGAATTAAGATGAATCTTTTGTTGGCATTAAGCACCTAATTTAATAAAATATAAACAATGCAGGAAATCATGATCCGACCAGAGCTTTTAGTCAATCGGGTGAATCATTGGGAGGTCAGAATTTCCATCAAAAAGTAATTGAATTAGGTAAAACCTGAAATAATATTTGAGGGTTAGTTTCTATTAGATACAATTTAATTGTTATTTCATTGAAGACGAAGGATTGAGCATGATTGGCTTTGGTGGTTCGGTTGATGGAGTTTATAAACATTCACCGGATCAAGTTGTCTGGCCTGGTAAAAAACACGATTTGGATATATTTATAATCAGTCAATTTCATTCATGCTTTTTATTTATTAATATTTGATTAGCATATCCAAGCAATACTGAACGATCTATCACCGAAAATCTGCCAATTTTGCTATCTAAAGTCCCATCTGACAATGATATTCTGTTAGTAACTCATTTCGGACCAAGTGTAACTGCGACTGCAGATGTAAATATTTTCCCTGGAAACGAAGAAAAAACTCGAATCGAATCTGGAAGGCAAGTCTTGTTAGAATTTCACATGAAAAAATATTTAATTTAGCATTATACTTTTAAACTTTATAGCCCTGCGCTTCGTTCATTACTTACTTCTCATACACCGCCCAACACTGACTTGCAATCAAAATATCAAGTGATAACTGTTAATATTCATGGTCACTCTCATTATCCTTTTGGTCTGACACATATCGGTCAAACAATGATCATTAATCCTGGCCCATTACGTGATGGTAGATTTGCAATTTTGAAAATGGAACGCATTGAAAGAGAATTATTATTAAAAAGAGATCTCGAAAGAAAGTTAATTTTAGAGCATCTAAATAACGAAAAAGTCTGGAGCGTCGTTGGACTAGAATTTTTTTTCATTTAGAAACATCACATTCTGTAATGTAATATCTACTTGTATTTATGAAGTACACTAATTTTTATATCGCCTTATCGTTATGTCAAAATACTATTGCAAGGTACAGCAATTACATATAATGACATTTCTCAGATCAAGGGTAACTACCCTCTTGCGTCATATTAAATTTCTAATGTCTGCAACTTTTTTGTAATAGTCAAAACCTTGAGCGAAAAATTCGGTATAAATCTATCAAATCAGATTTTTGGACACTCTAAAGAAGACCATGATACCAGTTATCTGAAATTAGGCTTTGCGAGCTCATAGATTTTATAGTGTGTAACTGAAGTGATGTTTATTAAGGTTAGCCACTTCGCATACCATTATCATGGAAAAAGGTACAAGATTCACCTTCCTTCCTTCTTACCATTTATTGAATGGGTAATTTGAAGATTGGCTAAAAACAACCATAAAAGGGGAAAGGAGGGAAGTTAAAGCAGAGTAGTTTCATTAATTATCAAATTTATTAGAAATTTTGTTAGATAAGGTGTTAACTTAATCTCATGCTGAGCATTTTTACTTTTTACTTGGAGGTAGAATTTGCGTGTTACACATGATCTTACAATTGTATTGGTCAAATTTGTATGTTACACCTGATCTTCGCAATTGGATTGGCCCAAAAGATGGCATGCCAAATGGAAAGCAAATCCTTTGAATTTCGCCGTGAAAGTTTAAAGCTTACCGCGAAATGGTCAAAGAAGTACGT